TAAGATATGAATGACAAAAATGCCCATTTATTAATAAGAAATGTGAATAGTACAAGAATGCCCTTTTACAGTGTCATAGAACTGGGTTTAGTGCATATGACTAACAAATTGAACACATATTATGGAGTAATTGTTAGTGCTAAGAAACATGTATCCTTTTCTGGGCCAAGGTTCAACTCTGTCACCACCATTGCTTTGTGATAAAGCAACTTATTGATTTAGAGGAAAACTTGTACAAGCAGTCAGGAAGGGATCCTTTGCATTCGTTTAAGAGGAAAACTTGTGTTGGTGGATGTTATTGCAATTACAAGAATTTTTTTGCTACTTAATTGCTTATTAATCAAACTAGATCCTAGGATTGTGATTGGTCCACAAATCTTCTGGAAAATATTTTGAGGTATCTGATGCAAAATCTGGAATGGATTGAACAGCGTTGAACGTCCATTCAAACTTTGTTTGTCTTGAAGAAGGAAGCACTCCTACTGTTAGAGGTAGAGCTGTAGCAACAGTTATCAATCATTTTTAATAAATTCTTTCTATAATCATGTCCAATGCTTGGTTAAAATTGAGTGTCCAATTTCTTCTGTTTATTATGTTACTTATTGGTTTTATTATCTTTTGGCTATTCCTATGGTGAGAAATTCTTGTGATAATGTTTCATTCCCATATACCTCTTGTTTACCATGCTAAAGCAAGTCAAATTGGTCTGTGATCCTCAATTTCTTTCCACTGCTCTAAATCCTCAGGAGAGACAAAGAGGAAATTTGAGAGCGTCTATACAGGGGGGACAATGGACACCCCTGACTCTGGCAAAGTTTTTCAGTACTGGCATTGTTGTGGCTCTGAGGATCCCTTTGATCCTGGATGCACTGCTGCTCCTCACTCTTCCTATGATGATTGATACAACTGACAATGGACAACAATAATATCAGAGATTCATTTCCCATAACCAATGCAGGGATTATTTGTTGTTTGTGATCATGTTTCATGCCACCGTTTCAGGGATTCACATAAATGAGTTGATATATGTATAGTTGTTTTGTTCCATTTCATGTAAAGAACATTATCTGATTGCAGATGTTCTTGCAGGAAATTTCGGCATATGTTTTGTAATTTCTTTTTGGGAAATTGTCTAAAATTCACCATGAGTTTTCAGCATTTCTCTTAAACTCACCACAGCTTTTCAAAATGTCTAAAACTCACCATGTCACTAAGGTGGCATTTGATTGCACTTTTTAGAGGTTTGAATCTGAAAATGCTATTTTTCAGACCTCACCCCTTGTTTGGTTGTACCTCTTAACCTGAGTCTGAAATTGATTTTCAGATCTGAAAACCATAGACCTTGGTGTCTCTTAACGCGCTCAGACGCATTTCAGAGCCGGCCCAATGTCCAAAATATCCTTACAATTTTTCGTAAATGACTCGAGTTACCCCTAATACCACCAAACCCAGAAAACCTAATCATTTGACCTGTCTTTCTCTCTGGCTCTCTCTCTCCGCCCTGTCTTCCTGCCACCGCTGCTACAAGTTGCAGCGGTGTCTCTCTCTCTCTCTCTCTCTCTCTCTCTCTCTCTCTTCGCCCTGTCTTTCCACCATTGTATATTGTCGATTGCTCCTCCTCGCTCTGTAAAACTCTACCCTCTTGCTCCTTCTGCCACCTATCCCACCTTTGACGTGAAGCGGAGGACCGGCGCAACATCACCACTGATTTCGCCAGATAATCTAGGCTTCTATGAAGCTCAGAAGCAAGCTACCCCCCTTCTCACCGGAGTTTAGTCAGGTCATTCCCTTCTCCCGTTTGGGCAGATCACTGGTTCATCTTCTGTGAATGCAGATGGCTTCATTGGTGGGATCGAGAGGGCTTCATTTGTGGGTTTGCATGGCTTTTGCTGAGAGGGCTTTCGCAGTGTTCATCATCTTATGTTTTTTCTTTCTCTGCCTTGTCTCCGCCCTGTCTTCTGGCCACTGCAACTATCTCTCTCTTCCCCTCCCCTGTCTTCCCCTCACCGCCACTGCCGCTGCAACATGCAGAAGTGGTTTGGTGAATAATAATAATAATAATAATATGTTTATTAATTATTAATTATAAATTATTTTAATATTTTTATTAAACATTAATTACTTTTTTATTAAACTTATTTGTGTTATTTATTAATTAATAATTATTTCAATATTTTTTATTAAACATTAATTATTTTTTATTAAATTATTGGGAGAAGTATCGATCAGCCTAGCTCAGAATTTACTAGCCACAAAGTATAGGGGGAATGCATCTTGACCGTGAATTGATGCCAAATTCACGGGCAGGATGTGGTTTATAGGGGGGAAGAGGGCTAGTCGTAGGGGGTGGCTTGAATTCAGAATTCTGCATCATGTGTATTCGTACTTTTCCCTAAATTATTTGTGTTATTTATTAATTAATAATTATTTTTATTAACTAGTAATTTTTAATTATTTCATTAAATTTTAAAAATTATTTTAAATTTTATTTGTCTAAATTATTAATTATTGATTATTTTAATATTTTTATAGTCATTATTTTTTAATTTTAATCGTTTCATTTATTAATTAGTAATTATTAATTTATTATTATTTTTATTTATATTGTTTCAATATTATTTTGATGTTGAAAATTATTTTTTATAATGCAAATTAAACTCAACATTTCCAAATAGTATGTTTTAGGGGTAAAATAGTAAAATCAGTAAATTTCAGATGGTAAAGGATTGATCCAAGACAAACAAACTTATGGATTCAGATCCTTTAAAAAGTAAAAAAGCATCTATGCCTCTTTTCAGATTTTAGACACTTTATATCTTTTTAACTTTTCAAATCTGAATTTTCAGATTTATCAAACGCCACCTAACTTGACGTTAAACAGACTAACGGGTGTTAATATGTTACCATTTTAACCTTCAAAAAAAATATAAAATATATACAAATTAAATTAATGGGTGCTTATATATTACCATTTTAATATTTAGACATGAAAAAAAGGAAAAGGTTCAAAAAATATTTTCAAATATAAAATACATAAAAACATAGAAATTATAAAAAAATATAAAAAATTATAGAAATTGCAAAAAAAAATAAAAAAATATTTTCAAATTATAGAAACTTTAGAAATTGAAAAACAAAATCAGAAAATAAAAATTGTATAAAAAACACAAAAAATTATAGAAAAACACAAATTACAAATAAATAACAAATATACAGGAAAATCATAGATTGTAGAAAATAGAAAATGTAAAAAAAAAAGAAATTATAAAAAACCTTGGAAATTATAACAAAACACTAGAAAGTGCAAAAAAAAACAAAAAAATTGAAAACTGAAAAAGACCAATTTTCTTCTAACTCGCCATTAAAGGGTAATTTGGTCATGAAAATTGTTATTTATGCTGACATGGATACCTTTTTTAAGAAGCATTAATACTGCATTGACGAAGATGAGTTTTGGAAAATAAAAACTTATTGACATGGTGAATTTTAGACATTTTGAAAAGTTGAGAGTTTAAGAGAGGTTGAAAACTGTTTTTAGACAATTTCCCTTTCTTTTTTAGTAGTATTCACCCTGTTTTTAAGCAGTACTCCTATGTTAGATGAAAAGGGAAGAAGCAGATCATTGCACAGACCAGGATCTGATAATACAGATATTGTTCTGTGTAGGGGTGCAATTGAGCCTAGCCAGGCCGAACTTCTGTATGTCTTGGCAGGATGGTGGAAGCAGTTGATCTGTCTCTCGGAGACGAAGATAGGTTTGTTTCACCTGGAACCGGGAAGGAGATTATTACAGAGAGAGTAAATATAGTCCATTTTAATATGCCTGACCATTGTGTCAGGTGTCAACACTGCATTACGCTTGCTGTATGTGCATGAAACATCAAAAATAGGTATAGCCGCATAGGATTACATTAGTCTGAGAATAAGAAATATACCGTATAGAGCTGTTGTAAAGTGGCACGGGGGGTCTAGGTCTATATTTCATGGCTAATGTGAAGTGTTATTATTGATTCCACAACATAGGCCTTATATATTTCATGACTAACGTAGAGTGTTATTATTGGTTCCACAGTCTATTTAACAGTTGTTGCATTCAGTTAAGGGGAGGTGAGTTTGCGCGGTCATGGTTCAATTCTCTTTCCACATACCAGCACTTGTCAAGATAATAATGTGGATTAGATTTTAGAGAACAAATGTATTATGCATTCACGTAACGCTCTTTTTCCTTATTTAAAACTTTTTTTAGGTGCTATTTCTGCACTGCAAAGAAATTTCAAAGCGTTAAGAAGGGGCGTCTGAATCAAGGGAAAAGGAAAACATGGCAGTTCGATTGATGTCCTTTCAGACCAGTTCACGGGTATGACCATTTACCACAGTTTGTATACGCATAACTCAGATGAAAGCTTTTGAAGAAGATTCCAAAACTTTTTCGACCCATTCATAAGCCTAAAATGAAGATTTCCATGAATAACCATTTTTGAAACATAAAACATCTACAAGCATCAGAGAATGATATGTGCTAATATAATAAGAAAGTTTATGTAATCGTTAGTGGGCTTCTCGATCTTTCTATTTTAATAAAAACGCTCATGCTTCCAAGACCCGTTTTTTACAAAAAAAAAAACTACTTCTGCCACATAGACAATGAGCAAGACTATACTGTTTGGTAAGGTGATTTTCATCACCGCTTTTCATATATGTATTGACAGGTAAACACCACATAGGATACACATCAGTCAACCGTTGGGAGAAATGGTTCACTCAGTGGGGTCTCAATTTTTGAGGCATACCCGATTTTTTAATAATCGACTGAACCAAACAATGAGATAAATGGACGTTTGTTGAAAAGCCTAGTGGATCAGATGTGGCACCGTTTTTTTTGAAAAACGGCCACAGTTCCAAACATTCGCTAATAATCGAGCCACGAGATTGTGTCAACAGGACAAACAGAATATTAAGCACCAGGTATTACTCAAAATTGATCACAAAAAGAGAAGATAGGCTTCATGGGAACAATCCATTTTTGAATTCAAAATTCAACTAGAAACAGGATATCCAAAAGATTCATCCCCCCTACAAGTTCTACCAAAGGACAAAATAGAAAAAAAAAATAAGTATGCCTTCAAACCCTAGAATAATGAGGATTCTCTCATATCAATGACAAAATAAGCTCCTAATAACGGCCAATTCCCCAAACTCTGATTGAACCATCTGTGTACCCAGTGAAGAGTGTACTGCCATCGGAGCTCCAACTCAAGCTTGTGCAGTACAACATCTGTACAAAATTGGGGAAAAATAGTGTCAGATAATAAAGAATAATTGCAAGGGACAATGGAACGGAGTAGAACAAAATTGGGTAGCAATTTCTATTCACTTCGGCTCTAGCTCCCCCTAGTGGGTTAAGAATCGCCAAAGTCAAATGCGCACTGAAAATAAGCAAAAGCTTTTCACTTCACAACCCTCGCAAGATTTTGAGAAAAAAAGAAACATAGATATTGTCTGCTTGCAAAATTTTCATCCACTATAATAGTTTTCAAGACATGTAAAACAAATCCTAGATGAACTAAATGCTAGGTTTGTTCCTTGATTCTACATACCAAATTACCAATTAGCAATTCATCATGCATGTTAATTGAAATTTCACAATCCTCTTTCCGAATAACTTTTATATCCCTCTCAAAACATGACAAATCATCCTATCTAAAAGACAGTAACATTTTGAACCAATCAATTTTAGTATTTCAAAGTTCAAACAACACTATGACATAATACGTGTTTAATTCCATGTTTACGCTATAAGAACTAGGGTCAAAAGCCTTTTTCTAGTTCTTATTTCATATGAGAGAGAGATACATATATATGATAGAAAAAAAGGAAGACGACTTCATATCCTTCTCTATCTTTTTCTCATCTTAAAACCCGGGATTTTTTTTTTATATTTTAATTGGTCAAATCCTTAAGCAAAGCAAGAACTACTATATTTGTCTATTTTTTAACACTTGCCCTTTGATTCAGAGTAAAAAGACAGCATTCGAGGAAAGATTTGTCTATTTTTAAAGTTCAAGCTTTCAATCTCCCACCCAAGACTTCAACAATTTCAGGATTACTCCTATTTAGTACTGTGATTGTATTGATAGTCATTGCTTCGGACACCACCTCATTTACTTCCATAAACCAAAACCATCGCAGGCAATTAATGTGATGGCATTAAAGAATTCCCAGGGTGAAAATTCTAAAATTCAATCTCAATAAATCTTTTACAACCACATTCTAATACTTATAACATGACAATCATTATTTGTTTTTAGAGAAATTCTTAAACAATCATTATTTGTTCTAGCGTTTAATTCCATCACTGTTTCAGCATGGAATTGGAATGAATCCTAGAAATTAACATTCAAGCAAAATATGACAGTACCAACTGGCTCGATTGGTAAGGCCTCTAGCTGGTAGTAGTGTAGACTTGGGGTCAGATCTTGCCATCACCAAGGTCGGGTCGGGTGGTTATAGGTAGGGGACAGATCACACCGTTCCCGTTGTGTAGTACTACGAACCTCCCAAAAAAATTCAAATTACCAGTAATTGCAAATTTTAATCAAGTGAAATTTGGTAGAAATCCAAGAGATGCAATTCATTAATTTCATTCAGGAGAAAGTCCTACGAGCAAATTGGGCCTGAGAAACAACAGACAAAGCATGTATTCCACCCATCTAAACTATTTTCCCGCAAGCTCATGAAAATGTTGTTACGCACCTAGATTTACATAGGAAAATTAACATCTAAGTTAGTTAATGCACATAATGAAGCTTTGCTTGCCACAAAGATCAAACCATTGGATATTCCCGAAAATTGCTATCCACACAATCTCAAAGATTTAAATCAAGTCGATGTTAATCATCGAAAATAAAATTAAGTCTATAGTGAACATACAGAGACATGCAAACAAGGATAGATCAATAACAAAACATCGCTGAACCAGAAGCCACAACTGATAGCGGAACTATGAAGACAGATAAAACTAGACCAAGATAAGACATAACAAATATCAAACATAAATCATAAACGACTCCAAGGCAAGCCAAACAACTAATACAAATTAATAGTTAGGAATGAACTAGTGAAAAGATATAGCACGTAAGTCAAACAATTAAGTCTTAACAGATTCATATAAAACAAGTAGCACGAATCAATGATAAATAATCGGCAAACAACATGAAACATACCTGATTCTTCCCTTGGGTTGCCTCGGGCTTCAAGTCCTGGACAATGCTCTTGCTCTCCAGATCCCAAATCTTAACACTGTCCTGCGTCGCTGCACACAACCAGTACCTGTTCGGGCTGAAGCACAGAGCATGAATGATAGCGCCAGCATCAAGCGAGTAAAGCCTCTTTCCTTCTGCCAAATCCCATAGCAGTGTGACACCGTCCTTGCCACCACTGGCACACAGCGAACCATCAGGAGACACTGCGACCGTGTTAACGTAACCTCCATGGCCGGCCAATGTGCAACGAAGCTTGCAATTGGTGAGGTTCCAAACCTTCACAGTGCGGTCCCACGATCCAGAAACAATGGTGGGTTGGAACGTATTGGGGCTGAACCTGACGCAGCTCACCCAATTAGTGTGGCTATCGGCGTCCTGGATAGTGTACTTGCATTCCCCAAGGGTGTTCCATAGCTTGATGGTGCGGTCACGAGACGCAGAGACGATCTGACGGTTGTCGATCGAGAATGCCACAGAGAGAACATCCTTGGTGTGGCCGACGAAGCGGCGAGTGGTGGCTCCGGTATTAAGGTCCCATAGACGGAGCTCGCTGTCCCAGGAGCCGGAGAGAGCAAACTGACCATCAGACGAGAGGACCACGTCCTGTACGAAGTGAGAATGACCAGTGAGACGACGGCGTGGGACACCGTATATGCCCTCTTCCTTGGTGAGGTGCCAGACAAGGACCGATTTGTCACGGGAGGAAGAGACGATCATGTCGGAGTTGTCGATCGGAGTGGCGATGGCGGTCACCATATCGGAATGACCCTTCATCGTCCCCTTGAGGATCAAAGTTTCCGCCATTGTTTCTTTTCTGTCTCTCCGTGAACTTTCCTCTCTGCAGATCCTGCTAGGGTTATAGAAGGAGAAGAGGAAAGAGGAAAACCCTAAGTGCGCTTTTATAGCAGACTAATAGTTAGAGCGATAAGCTTGGGTTCTAAAAATGACAACGGCACGCTTGAGAATGCGGTCGCTTGATCAGCCGTTCATCCTTTAGCTTTTTATGGTAAAATCTTCCGTTCATCATACAGGTTATCACGTCAGGAACATGAAAGGTGACAAGTATGTTATCTACTTTTTTATTATAGTTTGGTTAACATGGAATCAACCTTGAGTTCTATTGTAGCCCATCGTTGTCTGCCAAGTACCAACCAATTGAGTGAAGTGTATATAACTCGGGTCAGGATCAAACCAAACTGGACCAAACCGTAGATGTAGAACGGATTCCTTGCCTCCTTGGATAAAGGCCTCATTTGTTTTGCTGTAAAAATGAGGGGTAAGTAGGTGGGTAATATTGGGGTGAGCATGGGCTGCTTTGTTTCGGTTTATAGCTGGCTGTAGGGGTTGGTTTTAGGTTTTTGGGAATCAGTAGGTTCTGGTCTTGGTGGTTTCAGGGTCTTTTATTCTCCCCCTTTACATATAAAAAAAGGGATGCTCTTTAAAAATTTGATTTTTAATAAATATAATATATAATTTAAAATTTATATCGATTAAATTGGATAATTTAATACGTTGATTATCATTATATGGTTAAAAATTTATAAATTAAGTTTAAATTTTGTAAATATTACCTTTTACACTATTTATTATATAATTCAAATATTAAAATAAAAAAAATGATCAAATATTATTTAAGTAACTCAATGGTCAAGTAAGACCATGGCCTTTGTAACCATGAATGCTTGGGTTCAAATCTTCACATCCCAAAAGTATTATGGGTTTATTTCAAGGCAAGTTCTAACAAGGTTGGTTCCACCAAGGCTAGTTCATCAGGTCGGCTTGGATAGAATAAATCCCTAGACCTTGGAACCGACATGGGTGGGGGGTCGGTTCCAATAATTTAGAACCACACCCTACCTTGTAACAAATGCCGCTTCGAGGTCAATTCCATTCGCTTCTAGTTAGAACCTACCCATTTGCTCACCTCTAGGTAATAATCATGTGTTCGGCCACTATTATAATGGAGTCCATGATTTTTTTTTTATTGAAGAGTATTGGTTACTTAGGTCCTATAAGATAAATTAGGTGGTGTTTGGCAAGTCTTTCCCTATGGCCTTTTGGGCTTCCGCAAGGTCAACAGATAGAAAAATGTTGAATTTCGAAAAGTTTCAAGTGAACTTTTCTAGTCTTTTTGTGTGATATATAGCCTCTAAACACATTTTTAAAATCCCGATAGACCGAGTCGCTTACCAAACGATCTTTAAAGATAGGACCCCATATCTCAATATATCTTTTGGCCATCTGAGCAGTTAGAAGATCTTTTTAAAGGGACTTGCAAAGCAGCACCTAAGTTATTCACTCACTAGAAAACACTAATCGTCTTGTTTTTTGCTATAATTTTTTGTAATTTTGGTAAATTGAAAATTTTAATTACTAAGAATTACTTGCTAAAAATAATTGATTTTGGTAATTTAATTTCATTTTTTTGAAAATTAATTATTGAAATCAATAATTAATTAAAATATTAATAAATACAAATTTAACAATTAAAATTTATTGGTAATTTTTAGTAGTAAGTAGTTATTGATATTTTCAGTAATTTTGATATTTACTATAATTTTTTGAGCAATAATTAGTGATTTTGTTAATTTAGTGAAACTTAAATTATAAAACTTCCAAATTTTCAAATAAATAATTGGAAAATTTTAATAATTTCCATAAGTATTGGATATTACATTTATATTTACCATAATTAATGGAACTATATTTATGGGTTTGGGGTAGGGATCATATTTCCCATCCCAACCTCGAGTTTTAATTTAATCATTGTCAAAAAATTTAGCCTACATCCCCAGTAGAGATGTAAATCGGGCTGTGTCACCCATGGCCCAGCATGAACTCGGAACAGCCCGGCACAGCCTGGCATGACAGTCCGCGGGCCGTGCTAGGCCCGGCATGACCATGCAGGCCATGCTGGGCCTAGGATTTTAGGTCCACGGGTCGGCACAACCCAGCTCGTAGCCCGGCCTAGCACGGCCCGACACGACCCACATATATATTTTATATGTATTTATATATAGTTATATAATATTATAATTATATAATAATATATAGTATATAATATATTAATATATTAAATATTTTTTAATGATATTATATTAATTTATTTAATTATTGCATATATAAGCAATTTTATACAAAAAATTCATATAAAATTAAAATTTTAAGTTTTTTGTCAATTTTTTAAATAAATAGCTTTAGTCCGGCGCACGGCCCGACCTGGCCCAAGGTTTGGCCCACGGGGCTGACCCCTGAATTTTTCACTGGGGAGAGCGGCATGGCCCGTGATGGCTCGCAGGTCAGCACGACACGACCCACTTTACACCTCTAATCCCCGGTCTTCGATAGAGAGGGCTTCCCCATCGGGGACCTGAATCCCTGAATTTTTTAATTAAAAGTTTATTTTTAGAAAGGTATTTATTTAAAATAAATAAAAAATTAAAATATAAATAATATTTTAAATATATTTTGATATACATACGTATAATATAAAAATATTATAAATAATATTATATATTTAGTATAATATATAAAAAAATATATTTAATATATATAACCAGGGTTGGGACCCAATCAGGTATTCCTATTAATTCCATCCCCACCCTATCCCATCCCATCCCTGCCTGATCGGGGNGGGTGTTGGGTACATGATGAAATGTAGAAAATTGTCATCCCTGTTCCTGGTTGCGTAACTCCATAGAACAATAAATTTTAAGTTCAATTCCATACATTGCACGGGGGCTGTTAGTTCGTTATAAAGAAGTAGATCTCAATGCGGGCCAAAGATGAAAAATATAATTGTTAATGGGTTAGGGAGACATGACATACAGGAACCGCATTATGTATCTCAAACACTCAATTTGGGACATGATATCTCAATCCTATTACTCTAATTTGTATGTTACAAAGAAATCCCTCGTCTAATACTTATGTTTCTTTGTTACCATAAAAGATACATTTTTTTTTCCATGATATGCTTGTAATAATCAAATAGTAAACTATTTAAAATCAATTAAATTTAAGTTTGCCAATTGGCTGGTTGGTAAGGTTTCGTGGTAATTGTAATGGAGACTTGGGATTAGGGGTGAGTATTGTTTGTTTAAAATCGATTTAAAAATTTTAGATTTGATTTTTATGGTTCTATTATTTCGGTTTTTGGTTAGTTCAGATTGGTTAATTCAATTTTGTAAAAGTGTGATTTTGGTTTCAGTTTTAAGGTTTGAAAATTCGGTTAATCGATCAAATTAGTCAAAATTTATTTTTTTATAAATAATAAATATTAATATATTTTAAAATATGTAATGTATTATATATATATATATATATGTATGTACGTATTAATATGCTAATATATTAATATATTTAATATATTAATGAAATTCAACTTTAATCAAAATAAATGAAAAACAAACAAAAAATTTTAGTTTTGATTATTTCAGTTGTTCATTATTTTGATCTCATTTAAAACTTCAAATTTAAAATTTTTGATTTATTTTTAATCGAATCGAATAAACTGATTAATTACTCACCCCTGAATCCCACCTTCAACTGGGTTAGGGGGTTATTGGTTTGGGGGACAGGCTACCCCTGTTGTATAACCCATTGGAGCCCCCAAAAACAGTAATAAAACCAGCTAAAGCTTCATTCATTACGGATCTCATAACATTCTGATTAAGTTGTTTATTAAATGACAAAACAATAAGCGATTTCGAACAGTCGTTGATCCGGACGTTTGGACCATTCAGCCCAGGGACACACACAGAGAACAAAAAGCAATATTGCAGATCGGAGATAAATTAGATCTTAGAGAGATCCAAAATCGTTGCCATTGCCATCACCATCACCGGTGAACATTAAAAGCTCCTCCTCCTCCTTCCCTCATTCCTTCCTTCATTTCTTTTTTTCTCTCTTCCTTTTCTTTTTTTCCTCTCTCATTTCTTTCTTTCTCACCATACAACCACCATGTCCCTTTTTTTTAATTCTTATAAATGACTAAGAATAGTGGAGTCTAATATTTCAATCTAATCAAACCATCTGAATCATTCGACTTGAATGATGGAATCGCTGACCTGAAAACCGGTGGCCACAATAATTCCGTTTTCAGATCAGTTTTTAAAACTTGAGTGAAGGTTCAAAACATGGATACAGGCAGCATAGAAAATTTGTGTATTTGTCTGGCTTTGATTTTTAAATATCCATATACTCTTGAAATTGAGAGTATTTCTGAACAAGTTTTTAAATTTCATTCTCCCTAGTAAACTTTGAGCATCTTCGTATCCCCAAATTTGCATGTTTCATGTATTGCCCACCATGAAACCGGATACATGATACAACGTATCAATACTTTGTTTCCTTGAGTAAAACTATAATAGAATTTCACTAATTTTTCACATGGAGCCAATTGATTGGTTGGTTGTAACAGGAAAAATCCTACCTTTACCCAAAAAAAAAAATTAAAAAAATGGTACATATTAGTACTTTGTTTCTTGAGTAAAACTAAAATAGGATCTCACCATTCTCTTGCAAGGAGCCAATTATATAAAAATGTAACGGCCCTTAAGGAGGATTCAAGTAGATTAATGGCTAATGGCAAAAAAATTAGTTGGTTGGTTTTCGTATAGGCTTGGATCAAATAATCCTACCTTTTGCCATGGTTTAGGGAGGGGTTAAATAATTACACGTACGTTTTCCTTTATTTTTTAATAAACATGTTAATTAGTTCTCCAGGTTAAAATCAATAATCATGGGGCTTTGATTTATTGGTGCGACTACTACACACCCATTACACTGATTGATTTTTGTGACCAAGGAGGTGAATTATGGCGTAGTTGGTTAGTTCATTCAATCCAAGAGTTGTTATTAATGTTATATATGGGAT